ATCCTATGCCCAACAGAACAAAACACCGCTCGGCCCTGTACCATCCTCATGCTTACAATGCCAACTAAATGTGATAATTCAAGTGTAAACTTTAGCACAGTGCCTGGTACATAGTAAATGTTCATTAAACGTTGGCCATGTGTATAGACCCTGGGTGAATTCTTCTTATGGAATGAATAGTTCTTGGATTAGGAAAGTTCTTATTCGTGGGTTTTTATGCACCAGTTCATCCGGGTGCCTGTTTCCTTGGCTATAGCTCTCACTGCCATCGAGTTTGTTCTGACTCATAGCGACTCCACACGACAGAGTAGAACTGCCCCTGTGGCATTTCTGAAATTTAACTCTTTATGGGGTGAAAAGCCTCATCTTTCTCCCACAAAATGGCTGGTGGTTTTGAACTGCTGACCTTATGGTTAGCAGCCCATAAGGCCTTACCCCACAACACCAGCAGGGCTCCTCTTGGACATTGAGCATCAGGAAAATGTCCAGAAGTGAAAGGTTCCCTATCTGCTTCAGTTTGACACTTCTGCTAGCGTCAGGGTCAAATAAAAAGGCTCACAAGGGATGGGAAGCTTTTCTTTTGCCTCTTTTAATGACACCAAGTCCCATTTGTCTAAGTGAGGGCTGCTGTGGACATTATCAGAGTGACAGTGAGTCACTGTGGAGGCAGCACCAGCATTTTTATCTCATCCTATCATCAGGCAATGAGCCGTTGCGGCAGACTCATGCCACAGCAACGATGCAGGTTAGGCACCAATAGGCCTGCCAGGAGAGGCCGGGTCCCAGCATGGTGCCGTTGGAACAGTTCTGCTGAAGGGGCATGATACACAAGCTCCTGTCAGTTCACATTTTCTAGTCTCAGTTTCACAATCTGCCGCATGAGCATAATTAGGCCCACTTTGACGATGGCATGGGATGCCTGAGTGACACTGTATGAGAATGCTTTCTACACCCCACAAGGTTAAGTCAACACACTCCATGATCTTTATTAGGAAGACATCCTTTGCTTTCTGGAATGGCATCTTCTGCCTCTGGCAGAGGCTGCGTGTCCGAAATGACTTGTGGCATGGATAGCAAGCTTGGAGCTCATTTTACACTAGGGCAAGCGACTCAGCTTTAGAGACCTAGAGAGTCCTGGAGAGAAGGAATGCCACCTTTCCCAGGACAGTGATTCTCAGAATCCCCTACAGGACCCGTGCCCTTCCCAGTTTCTGATGCAGCAGGCCTGGGGGTCCTTCCTGAGAATTTGCATTTCAAATGCCTTCTCAGGGGATGCTGCTGCTAATCCAAACACCACCTTTGGAGAAGTACTCTCAGGACAGGCAAGTGGGAACCTGGATTCCTTTCTGGAAGGAGGCAGGCAGTGTGAAAGTCCATGCTGGTAAGGTAGATTGAAAGAAATGAGATTTTTTTTTTGAAGACAGAAGGGAGGATAATATGTAGAGTGGGCAGAACAAAGGGAAAAGTCTCACTCTGTAACAAACGCAAGTAGGGGGAAGTTGCTAGGTGATGGATGAGGGAGAGAGGTGAATTTCCACTGTAGGAAGACCCAGGTGAGACACAAGAGCAGAAAGAGTCGGAAACATGCACGTTCAGGGCAGCAGAGGAGGTGGAAATTTTTCATTTGGAAGTGGGATGAGAGGCTGGCGAAGACATGCCTCCGTAGAGTAAGGGGGCAGCTGAGAGAGCCAGAGGGGGTAATTTCAGGGCTTTGTGGTTTGGCTTGGTAGGACAGCACAATAGAAATTGGGAGCAAGGGGGTGGAATTTAGATGTGTGACCTGCACCGTAGCTTTCTTGCTCTCTGCATTTATCACATCACATCACACCCAGCAAGACAGGCCCCCTCCTCCTGGCTCATTAGGAGATTTGATTCGGCTTGGCTCCTGCTGTCAGCAGCTGTCTGGGGCAGGATCTTAATGCTCCCTGCTCCCCAAGCAGCAGCAGCAGCAGCAGCAGCAGCAGCAGCCTGCAGCCAGCGGCAGAGCTCATTAGAGAAGAGCCCCCCGGACATCGGGCTTTTAGCTTAGAGGTGGCTGGAAAGAGTTAACACCTACAGCTTTAGCTTTACTGCCCCTGTACCGCCTCTGGGTGCCCAGGGGGACCACTATGGGCTGTGGTGACTTCTCCCAGAGCCGTAGCCCCAGGAGCCAGGAAGCAGGTTAGTGAGGCTGAAGAGGAGGGCGAGGGAGGAGCATCAGGCACGCTGTGCTCAGGGTACCTCCTGGCAGTGAGGATGAGCACGCAGACCGTGTTCAGGGAGCTGAGCTACCGCCTGCTGGGGTAGGCTGCTTCAGGATTTACTGACTGTGACAAGTAGAGAAGGGAGTGCTCATCGGAGCGACTTGAAGTCTAGCTCAAGTGGTGGGAGGTGCATGCATATATGTGTGTATGTTTGTGCATGCCTGTACACACATGCACACATGCCCTTGACCTGCAGAAGATCTGACAGCTAAAGAGAGCTCTACTCTTTCCCCAGAGCTCCTTAACCCGCAGCCTCTCTGACCATCCAGTCGGCAACGACTCACAAGCCATGAGGACCGGCCAAAGACAGTGAGTATGGCTATTGCTTCCCCCCTTTCCTCCTTGGGGTACCCATGCAGGCAGATTGCATTATCTATATTTAATTAACCTGCCTCTTCATGCATATCAATTGCTTTCTCCCCTCTGAGGCGCTCCGGTTCTCTCCTCTTCTTTATACATCATCTTTGCTCTTTGCTTTAACCTTGGTTTTTACCCTAACCTGTCTGCCCCAGAGTCACGTGTCCCAGTATCCTGCTGAGCAGGAGCCCACAAGCCCACAGCCACCTACTGATGCACAGGCACTGTGGGTGCAGCCACACCTTTGGGTGTGGAGTAACCCCAAACTCCATCCCCCATGTGTCTAAGCACGACAGGTACAAGAACCTTTATAAAGGTGTTGGGAGAGACAAAGATGCTGGTGTCAGAGTAGCCTGCTGATTCTTACTTAATGCAGTCTAAGGCAGAGCCAATCAATGGGCAGTGGAGGGTCTGAGAGGCAGAGGTGTACAGGGCTGATGCTGGAAGCCAGGAAGGCCGACATCTGAATGGCACAGACAAGCCAGAGCAGGCTGCTAGTGGGGAAAGAGACGCGGCAGGCACAGGTCTGGGCGATACTCTGATCCGAATGGCTTTGGCTATTGTGCATGGGGGTAGTAGTTTTTTGGTTCTGCTCAGGGTGATGAAAGTCCCTGACCTGGGCTATCCTGCCTTAGGGACTATATCCAACAAGTTAGCGGTTCTCAACCTGTGTGGGTCCCAACCTCTTTTGGGGGTCAAACGACCCTTTCACAGGGGTCGCTCGATTTATAACAGTAACAAAATTACAGTGATGAAGTAGCAACAAAAATCATGTTATGGTTGGGGGGTCACCACCACATGAGGAACTGTCTGAAAGGGTCTCGGCATTAGGAAGGTTGAGAACCACAGCCCTAAGGGAAGGGAAAGGAAGCAGATAAGATTTCTAGAGACCCTTAGTGATTCTGTTCTCAGACTTTTAAGCTGGCCGGGTGTGAGCCTGGTGGTCGTTGTTGTTAGTGCCCGCCCCAGCAAGGGTGAGGACAGGAATAAGGGCGTGCCCCCTGCTCCCAGTCCCTGCTCAGTGTCCTGGGTGAGCCTCTCCATAGGCTGCCTAGCGGTTTCCACTTTGGCAAGGCAGCCTTCTCCTCCTGTGATCATATTATTATTAGAACAGCTATTTTAAAGGAATATTTATGAAATATTCTGGGTAATGGCAAAATAACTTAAATGGCCTTCAAACCGGAGCCCTATCTAAATTAGGCTTCTTTTAAGATGGATGCTATATTTGGGGTTGGGGTTCCCCAAGGGGACCCTTTACAGCCAGGCGGCTCCCCTCACGTGCTGCTTCTCCTTAGGAGTTATCTTCCATGGGAGAAAGGGTTAGAAGCTCTGAGAATGGCACCCCTCCCTGGAGAGAAGGATTCTAAGTCAATCAGCCCTCAACCCCCATATTCCCTTCCCAAGATCCTCTCTACCTCAGGTCAAGATGGTCCAGGCCCAGGCCCCGGCCCCGGCAGCCTGCACATCGGGCATGTGCATTTCTGCAGCCGGAACAAGGCAGTGTGGTAACCGTGCCTGACAGACCTCTCTTGGAGTGTCTTGGCCTTCTTCCCACTTGCCCCCTCCCAAAGTTTCACGCACCCCCCACCTTTGGGACAGGGTCCCTGGGAGGGAGGTGAAAATCAGAACAGGATCAAATCCAATTATTTTGAAGCAAGAACTGTCCTCCGCTCCCACCCCCCGCTGGCTGGTCACTTGGGCCCCACTCCAGTAAGAGAAAGAGAGCAGCCATTTTTGGTCCACCAGGCCCATCGCTCCCCTGGGGCCCCTGTCCCACTTTGCAGCGCTGATGGCCAGAGGAACTCCTGACCGGTCCTCAGCAACGAGCAGCTGCCACACAAGTTGCTCTGGTCCATCTGTGGTTGCTCGAACCAAGCCAAGCCCCTTGCTAAGGCTCGGCACACGGTCAAAGGAGGGGGCGCGTTCCGGGCGTTGGCTTGGCGGAACGCTGCTGCAGTAGAAGATGCCTAGTGCAGGCAGGTAAGAGAGGGTGCCCCGCCCCCCTTCACAGCAGCTTCTTTGATTTTAGGTGAGAGGACGTGAAAGGGTAAATCCCTCTGCCCCGCAGTCTAATCTCCTGCCCTGACGGCCCTGCCAGCCAGCCCAAGGTTAGCCGTAGCGGATGTCTGTATGGCTGCCTTACTGATGCCTCGGAGGTAACTGATGAACAACCTGTTTCCTTGCCCGGCCCCTTTCCTCTGCCTCCACCTTCCCAGCCCCCTTGCTGCCTGAGCCTGGTCCAAGCCTTCTTAGCGCGTGGGTGACCCCCTTGCATCTCCCCTTAGCCTCCTGAGTGGACTGCGACATTCTCACCTACCTGCTTCTTGCTAAGTCCTGTATGGCCTTGCAAGCAGGAGCTACCTCAGCCCCTAGCTTTCCCACCTAACTGGCGGAGGGCCGAAGGTCCTGCCCATGCCTTATGGGGTGGAGCTGTGCATGAACTTGTGTTGCACCATGGAGAAACCTCTATGCACTTCCTGGGACAGGAGACTAGAAAACAAAGATGAAGGCAAGCCTTTTGTTGTTGTTTAAAGTAACCTTGACTTTTGACTTGCTTCTGCTCCTCTTCTTTCAGACCTAAGTCATGGGTTTATAAGGCACATTTCAGTCATGCAAGGTGGATAATACAAAACTATTTTTTGGGCCCCAAACCGTATTTTGTTAAAAATCTTGGCAACTCTCTGGGAGAATCAGAACTGCCCTGGATCACCCCCTTTCTGCTGGGCCCTGCTAAACTTCGTTCAAAGGGCTTGAGTGGATTTCCCATTTTCTGAGAGTCCCTGTCAGGGCTCTCGGAGGGCAGGGGCCTGGTGGCATGACGACTGATGTTCCAGCGCCCGGGGAATGGGCTGCCTGAGTGGGCCCTTGACAGCAGTGTCAGAATGTGGGGACTCGAGGGCCCTTAATCAGCTGCTCCCGCGGCCTGCTGTCGGAGCACCCTGTGGTCTATAAGAGTGAGTGGACACATAAGATGCTCATGGTCTCAGGAGAGAGCGTGGCCCAGCCTATGTTTTGCAATGGCTCATGGTAGAAGGCGTAGCTCCGGCAGGGTGGTCTGGCTTTCTGCAGAAGAGAGGATATTGCTGGGGATGCGACTGTTCCGATCTGAAGAAGCCCTCCCTGTGGGAGACCAGTGTTGTCCATCCCTCAGAGTATAGTACCATCCCAGGGGGCATTAGGTGGATAAGAGTTCTCTGGGGGAGAAAAATAGGCAATGGCCATGGTCAGGAATGGAAGCCCAGCTGAAGTCAAAGGAAAGGATTAGATCAGATGACCTCTGAGGTCCCTGCCCAACCCTCTGAGGATCTGTGGAAAAAAGAGGACGGAGCTACCAGTCGCTGAGCATGTGAAAGTCCTCCTTTGGAAACCACTCATCCGTTTTGATACCAAACCCCTCCCGCTTACCTTTGCCTTCCACAGGAGGGGATAGCAAACCTTGGTTAAAGATCAGGGTTCCACAAATGTGTTCTGCCAAGGGCCACAGAGTAAATGTTTGGGTTCGTGAGCTATGCTGTTTTTATTGCAACCACTCAACTCTGCCCTTTGGGTGCAAAATAGCCTTGGGCAATATGTAAACAAGTGAGCTTGGCTGTGTTCCAATAAAACTTTATTTGCACAAACAGGCATTCAGCTGGGCCTGACCCACAGGTTGGAGTCCTCTGTGTGGCGCAAATAGCATTACTTACTTGTCAATTCATCTGGGTTTAGGTAAAGGCAGCTGGTTATGGCCAAGCCCATTCCGATTCACTCACGGCGCCCCCCCCATGTGCCTCAGAGTAGAACTGTGCTTCATAGGGTTTTTCAGTGGCTGGTGTTTAGAAATGAGATCTCCAGGCCTCTCTTCTGAGGCATTGCTGGGTCTGCAAGAGGTGCTGACCTATGTTTTGCAGCCAGGTGTGCTTTGTGCCTCACTAGGGCCGCCTGGTTAAAGGTAGGCAGGAGCTCAGAGTGGGAGTCAGAAAGAGCCATCAGCAAGGTTTCTGAGTCCACCCTCCACAACAGAACACGATGTCAGGGCCGATGTCCTTACTGTAAGTGCCATTATCCGGGTCCTGGGGGGGAGGGGTGCGATTAAAATCTATGATATCTAAATATGCCTGTTACAATGTAAGACTCGAGTACAGAGCTAAGCCCAGATATGAACAGAAACGGGAGAGTCTGGCCAAGCAGATGTAAGAATGGATGGAGAGTGCCCTGGTCCCCACTTGCAGTTGCTCCTCTGCAGTTGCTCCTCTCCTCGCCTGCACCCGGCCCTCCTTGCTGGTCTGTAGCCATCAGGACTTGCTTGGCACCGGTTCATTCGTGATATACTGAATCCAGATCCACAGTTTCACAAGATCCTCGGGATGACACATGATTGTGAGGTATACGTAGCTATCACCTGAGGATCTGGTGACATTATAGATTTGGATTCCACCTGTCTGAGCTGACAATGCCAATTCTCCAGCAGTGGATCAAGCCAGAACGAGCCACTTTGGATACCACTGGGGGGGCAGGGGCTCTGCAATCAGGAGCTGCTGCTGCGCTGCCTTCCTAGTGGAAGGGAGGAAAACCGTGGATTGTTATCTTGTCATCGCTGTATTTCCTTTCCCAATGGAGAATCCTACTTTTGAAATTCTTCTAAGCTAACACCTTCACTGACTTCCCATCCACTCTAGAATGCATGAAGCTTCTAGGGGTGGGGGACCTTTTCAGTTGTCAAGGCAGGGAGTCAGGGTATGAGCTGGTCTTCTAGGCTTTTCTCCTCCTGCTCATGAAGCCTGCAGGGGTCCCTCGGGGGAGGGGCGGGGACAGTGCTGGCTCCCGGCAGCTCCAGGAGCCCTTTGTAAAGCTAAGGGTGACACCCCCTCCCACCCTCTTCTGCCCTGTGTTGCAGGAACAAAGGGATGAGAACACGACTGGGATGCCTGTCTCACAAATCAGATTCCTGTAGCGATTTCACAGCCATTCTTCCCGACAAACCCAACCGGGCTCTCAAGTGAGTGTGGAGCACATGCTGCCCGGGGTGCCCATCTGGGCTGCAGAAACCCCTTCAGCCCCACCGAGCTGTTGCCCAGGGGAGCCAAGGGGTGGTGATAAACCCCCAGTTCTGGGCAGCTCATTTGATGTGTCCTTCCATATCCCTGAGCCTGTCAGTGAGTGACAGGCTCTGTTCCCTGGGCAGCTCTCCGAACCTTCATTGAATCTTCTCCCTCTGCCCATCCCAGAATGGGGAGCCCCGTTTTCCCGTTAAGAAAACCCTCTTTGCCATCTCTCATCAATCTGTGGGTGGCGAGGGATACTGCTTGGTTTAGCTTTGATGTCAATCCGAGCTCTCAATTGGGAAACAAACACTCCAACCGGCTGTAAAAATATGCCGAGGTACGGATCCTCTGGATCGCGCACCCCTTCTGTTCTATGTAGGCACGCCATCCGTGCTGTCACAGCTGTCACCTCATCCAGCCCTCCTGCAGGTCTGGCTCCTGTTCAGAGGGGAAGGAGTTAAGGTGACAGGAAGGGACAGCTGCTGACCAAGACTCTCCTGACACCTTTAGATCCGGCCCTTAGCTTGTTTGTTCGACTGAAAGCCATAGTGGTCCACTCACGGAGTCCCAATCCTGAGCTTTACCGAGTTCTTTGTACGCATGCTCACGCTTACAGGGACAGAGCCGTAGGAATTAACCCCCACCCTAACCCCCACTGCACTCCCTATAAATGTTCCAAATGGGTCCCCTGTGTAAATCTTGGTCGTGTGGCAGGAGAGGAGGTTGATTCAGAAATATTCAAGGGACACCTTTCCCCTTCCTAGGAGACTGTCCACGGAAGAAGCTACGAGGTGGGCAGATTCCTTTGATGTGCTTCTCTCCCATAAGTGTAAGTAGATTTCCGTTTGTACCACGTCCCAGCAAACCATCCGCCCAGGACAAGTTCTACTGTGACCCAGGGACTGCGCAGGGTGTCCAGACCGCTCTGGTGCCGCCCTCACAGGACCTCCAGCCTAGAAGGGAACAGAGATAGGAAACTAGAATTTCAGTGCAGTGGGATGAGGTCCGAAGATCAGTCTCTGGAAGCCTTTAGGGTGTCAGCAGTTTTAGCAGAAGAGAGCTTCGCTTAGGATTTTGGAGTGATGCCTTTGCAGGGGTGAGAGAGTCCAGGCTCCAACCCAGGTTTTGCTTGTAAGCCTAAGTGCTAAGATACACTGTGCACAATGAGATACACTGTGCACGATGCCATCATACATGTTTTCCAGCGACCGGTCCAATGGTGTTAACCATATTTACCATGTTGTGCAACTGGCACCATTAGTTGTTTCCAAAATGCTTTTTATCACCCTCTACAGAAACTCTGTCCTCATTAAGCAATAATTCCTTAGTCCCCTCTTTCCACAGCCGGTGGCAACCTCTAACCTGCTTTCTGTCTCAAAGCCGGTGCTGAGTCTGGATGCTGCACACACATGGAACCACATGGCCTTTTGTCCTGGGGTGTTGGTCTAATTTCACTTAGCACAGCACCATGTGTTCACGGTTTATCCATGTGGGAGCATGCAACGGAATTTCACTTCTCTTTGTGGCTGAATACTATTCTGCTGCATGTGTGCGGCACCGTCTGATCTGCTGACGGCCATTTGGGTTCTTCCCACCACTTGCCTGCTGCGGATGGTGCAGCAAGGAGCACTGGAATTCAAGGGCCCCTGTGCGTCTCTGCTTCAGGTCTTTGGGGTAGATATCTGGGAGGAGATTCACTGGCTCTTATGGTAATTCTCTGTTTACCTTTTTGCGGAACTGTCAAATAAGACTGATTTTCGGACTGCTTTTCCTTTGGAGGTTTACTCTCCCATTTGCTTTAAAATCAAACCACTCACTGCCATCGAATTGATCTGATTCATAGCAAGCCTGAGGGCAGGGTAGAACGAATCCGGTGAATTTCTGAGACTGCAAATCTTCATAGCCCCGTTTCCCCTCCCCGCCTTCGGGAGCAGCTGCTGGGCTTGAACTGCTGACCTTGGAGTCAGTACCCTAACTCATAACCCACCACGCCACCAGGGCTCCACCCTCCTCTGCATTACATTTGTATCACAGCTTCTCAGATCTGGGGTGACTCTACATTTTCCTAGAATCTACCTTTTTGTATCCTCTGTTCTTCCATTCCCCACCCTCCCTCATCTTTTCTCTCATCTTCCACAGAGGCAGAAATAACTGCTGTGACTATGGGGGGCGGTGTGTGCACGTTCCTGGTGGCCAAACTTCCCTTGTTTTCTGACCACGACCCAGTTCAAACAATGGGGACTTTGCAATCTCCATGGCATAAAGTAGCCGGAGGTGCAGAGAGGAAATACCCGGAGGGGTGAGGACGAGAGAAGCTCCTGCTCAAAGGAAAGGAACGTTTCACGGCGACCTCAGGCCAGAGTCTTCACAAAGGCTGGCGTCATCGGGTGCATGGTGTGGCATCCCACCTGGTCACCCCGTAGACCTTCTCTCATCCCAGGCCAGACAGAATCCTCAGTAATGTTCATTAGTCATTCTCATCGCAGACTGGGAAAGAACGAGCGTGGTTGGAAATTACTTAGATGCAGTATTTCTTAGGTTGTATGAATGCTAACGATAAAACCCTTGTGTAGAATCTTTCTACATCGCATCACAACAGTGCGAGTGGCAAACATCATTGGTCACTGCGCCGAGGCCCTTTCCGCTCTCTTTTCCCTTGACTGACACCTCATCCTCAAAGAGCCTTGCTGCTACAGGGTCACGCATGCTCATTACCACGATGCTGTCGCTGAAACTCGGTGACACAAACAGAGGCTGCAATGAGAACACCGTTCGTCCGTGGAGCGCGTGCAGACGAACGCAAGTGGGTTGGAGCGTCGCTGGAGTTGGGGTATAATGCCAACTCTGACCAGAGCGTGCCAGATGGTTTGATAAGTGAATGAGCCCAGAGACTGAGTACCCTTGGCGCTATATTGCTATGTGTAAGCTGGGCTTATAAAAAAATGTATCTGTCTAATTACAGGGATGTTTTTATAAAAAGAATGAAGTTTTTGCTGAAATACTGCACAGAAGTTTTATGGACAGTCAATTTTGGTGTCTCCCCCTTCTGACAGTGTAATCTGGTGCTGCCTGAAGTCCTCCCCCCCCCACCCCCCCAGTGATACCATGGTTGAAGATTCTCTGTGGCTGTATTAGAAGTTCTAAGTAAGCTTGGAACAGAAGAGCTGTGTTCAGTTTATTGGGAATGCATGTCTTCATGCAATTAGGAGGATTGGATGGAGTCAGGCCTTTCTTCTGGATGTTGGCGCCTTGCCGGTATAGTGGGTTATGTGTTGGGCTGCAAACCATGAGATCTTCAGTTCAAAACCTACAGCGGCTCTACAGGAGAAAGATGAGACTTTCTACTCCTGATCAGAGTGACAGTCTCGGGCACCCACAGGGTGCAGTTCGGTTCTGTAAGGTCGCTGTGTTGGAATCGGCCCAATGGCAGCGCTTGAGTTCTGCTGCTACATAGCGAGGTGGCTTTACTGCAGTCCCCCAGTAGTCACAAGATAGCTTTAGAAGTGGTGTTCACTTCAGCTGAAGAAGTAGCTTCCCCGCAATGCCACTGGTCCTGAGATATTTGCTGACAAATGCTTTTGAATTGATTTTTAAATGAAATTCAAAAATTGAAGAATAAGTATGTTTTACTACTGCAAGTAATTTGGTGACACAAATGGCCATTTTCATGTTCTTGCACTTGGGAAGGAAAACAGAGCTGCCTAGGAACAGTATCTATAGCATATGGTTCTACCCCAGACAGCAAGCCTGTGCAGTGAATTTGCCAAGCATGACCATATTTGGGGTTTGACAGTCATGCTGGTTTTTTGGTTTTTTTTTTTTGGAGTGGTGAGGCTATTCTGAATGCTTTGTTTCTGGAGTCTCCTTAGACTAATACAAGGTCACCGACGATTTACACCTTCTTTGCTGTTGGATGGCATTCAAGGTCATCTTGAAGTTTGGTTTCTACGTCAGCCTCAGCACTGACTCCCTGAGCTGAAGTCCCTGGGGCACTTTTACCTTCTCAAACGGGGCTGGAAATACCTGCTGGCTCCCTGCCACCGGGACCGAGAAGCTTCATGAGAAGATGTCTGTAGGTGATTTGGGGTTCTCTCCTCAAGGGTCCTCTGTAATAGCTTGGTGGCATTTTCTTAGATGATGCCCATATTTCTCAAATGCAAAGTGATGCACTTGGAGAGTGCGGTGGCAGACTCATCTGCGGCTACTAATATTAAGCCATTCTGGACAGAGTGCTTGGAAGCTTCCGGTGTATTTGGTTACTGCAGTCGTGGGACTTGGAGACTTAAGACATTTCATTGGCTGCATTCACTGCCTTCTAAATCTGAAGACACTTGAATTTTTCTCTCAGAGAAGCGTTGGTTTCCAGGAACTCAGTAACACTCTTCAGAGAAGGGGATTCTGCTAAGCGCTTACAGTCTGACACCAGAGGACTGCTTTGTAAAAGAGCTACAGAAATCGGCTATCAGAACCGTGCGAGTCCTGGGATCCTCTGGGATGTTTGGTCTTGCACTTGTGTGTGGTAGGGAAATAAAAAAGCCAGTGGCACAAATGTGTTTGAGGGTAGAGGCCACGGTGGTTGAACCTCGAAATTTGAGAACTTGAACACTTGCTCCCTGCGTTAAAGCTGTGGAGGAGGCTGGCCCAGGCTCCTGGCCCGGGGATTGAGAGCTCGCTACGAGTCTGATGAGTGTGGGTGCACATTGCGCTGCAGTCTGCGCTGGTAATGCTTGGCTGATGAGAGTGTATGTGTGCTAGTCTCCTAGGAGGGACACTGGTGGTCAGAGGTGTGCAGGGCTTCCAAGGACAGCAATCAAATGTCCTAAAAGAACATAAAGAGTGGAGAGTTACTGGACAGCCGGGCTCCGGAGGAAAGCGGATTAGTCTAGAACTCATTCCCTGTCCATCTCACGTAGGCCTCCTGACCTCTTCTAGTTTCGGAACATTCAGCGAATTCTACCTTTCCTAGTTTCAACCTCTAGGCCACCATTGCCATCCCTGTTAGTTGTTTCGGGCACTCATTTGTCTTCTTAGGTTCAGCTGAGTGTCCACAGTGTCCACAGTCGAGGCTGCCACAGGGGTGAAGTAGCACACAGCCTTCTGAGAAGGCAGCCAAGGCTCCACACAACACGAGGGACCAGGCCGTGTGCTGATCGCAGAGGGAGGCAGCCTCAAGATTTCACGTAGAAAGCTGATTTTCAGTGTTCCTCTTAAACTTTGCCGAGTCAATGTTAGACACCCTGCTCGGTCTGGGAAAGGAAGAACTCTTTGAGTTGAAAGCACTCTTTCTGCTTACTTGGGGGACGTACTTGTGCACAGTTCAGAGCATTGGGTGGGAGTCAGATCAAGGTTCTGAAGTCTGACCCAGTTATGCTACTGGATAGCTTGGGGCCATGCTGGAGCCCCAGTCTCTTGGTGCTGCTGCTAGGTAATACCGAGTTGGCTCCAACCCACGGTGACCCCGTGCACTCTAGACCAGAACACCGCCTGGCCCTGCCCTTCCTCACCACTGTCATGGCGGAGCCCAGGGTGCCAGGCGCATGTCCATCCTTCTCCTCGAGGGGCTTCTCCCCTTGGCTTTACCAAACGCAATGTCCTTCTCTAGGGACTGGCCTCTCCTGGCCACCTGTCCAAAGTGTGTGAGACAAGGTCGCACCAGTCTTACTCCTAAGATGCATTCGGGCTGTTCTTCTACCGAGACCGAGCTCTCTGGTCTTTGGGCGGGCACGGTACGTCCAGCATGTGTCCCCACGCTGCTCAAAAGCAATTGCATCCCTTCTTCTTCGGGCATCCTTATTCAGTGTCCAACTTCCCCATGCACATGAAGTGACT